AACATTTTGCTCGAGCTCCGTTACTAATCATAGCTATCATTCAACTTAGCTAATAAATCTCAATCTAGAATAATTTTTAATCAGATTTAGATTGATTTTAGATTTCACTTAGTTAATCTAATTTTTTTATCAATAAATATAAAATTTATTCAATATGAGTAAAAAAAAAAATCTAAGCACAACAATAAACACAGTAAAACTCATAATAATTAATAAATTAATAAATTTAATCACACATTCTCTTAAAATAAACTCAAAATATAGTCACACAACAGTTACTAAAGAAAATCACCTTGTACAAGAAAGAGTTCAAAACAGACATGCTCACAGCTATCAATGGACACAAGACTCAGGAGTCAGGACATCGAAAGCTTATAACAAACAAACTTGATACAAAAAATTCCCACAAGCCAAACAAATGCTTTGATCAATCCTTCCCGCTTCTCTAAACTCACCTATGGACAACAACTAAGTCTCGAAAGATAATCTGGCAACAACATGCAATGCTTCACTCCACCGCCAAAACATAAAAGGCCTTCATTACTTGCATTGAGCAGCCCCATCCGCATAATCTCTCTCCATCAATCCCACTAAAAGTGGTACAATTTGCTCTTCTGAACCCTTGATCTTGAGACCCTTTTTCTTAGTCAAGGAGTACAAATTTCTAGCTTTTAACCAATTCAACTCTTTTTGAATCATCTTGCTCCTATGTTCAATTTTCCCATAGCTGTTTGAGTTATACTTCTTTGTGCTGCCCTTTTTCCTAATAATATACCACCATACTCTACACGATCAAAAAAGAAAAAAATTTACTGTCGGGCAAAAACACACCAGTAATTGAGACCTTCGCGGTTTTTCAGAGCATCTGCCTTCCTTTTTACTGCTGGGAAAGGTTGCGGGTTCCCAAGTGGAGTCTCACTCCTATTCACCTTGTAATAATTGGCATTTTTTCTGCAAAAGCTTTACTGACGCTTAATTTATAAGATGCAGCATTAAAACATTTGGGGGAAAAGGACGGAGAAAAGGACCATAAGCAACCAATCCATATAATGAAAATAAATATATGATTTATGGAATCTTGGGACTTAAAAATTAAGTTTACGTGAAAATTAGAGTAAATCCATGACAAAGGAAAATTCAAGTTCACTCACTACCAGCAGTAACCCTTTAAAATCATTTTTTAAATAACATATCATTATTTTTTAAATAATCATTTAGAACCATACAAAAGCACAGGCAAATTTACTTCTGAAGTCTCCAGTTACCATGTTCTAACACCTGAAATCAAGGATATTTGATAGGTAATTATCAATCTTAATCCTTTTCTTGCACATTATTTTCTTTTTTTCGTACAAGGTAGGTTCTTGTTCATTAATTCAGCAGGCTCGGTATTTGGCAATTTGAAGTAGACGTTGGACTAAGCTTAAACATTTTGTTCTTTGTCCTATAAAATAGAACCAGTAAAAAATATACTAAATTTAGGTAGATTTACAGTTGAATCTTAATAGACACTTCTCAAATAAATTTAGAACTCACAATAGATTTTATTCTAAAAATTATAAAAAGTGAGATTCAAGTCTAAATTTGAGCAAGAAATTTACATCAAACAAATTATTTTGGTGGATTTGATTATATTTGAGGTTTAGATCTTTTCGGTGTTGTATATTATTTAGATAATTATTAATGGTAGATTTGATTATTATCTTGTATTATTTTTATGAAATTTTTATATTAAATATTTTGGGTAATCTTTGTATATTAATTTCATCATTAATTTTTTATGTATTTTCTTTTACTTTTATTCTTCAAGATTCAAATATAAGAGATATTTTATATATTTATTATTTTGATAAATTTAATTTTGAACTATTTCTGTATTATATAGAATATTTTTTATTGACATTTTAATAAATTATTATAGATAAATTAATATATTTTTTA